ATCTGTTGGCAGTATACAAACAAAAGACAAAGCCGAAGTTCAAAAACATGTCAGCGCCTACTGCCCACATATTGCTGAGGACAGGGAGGTGGAAATGGATTTCCCCCCACTGGATTCCAGTGAACCCATTCATAAGTTTGGCTTCAGTACTTTGGCCCTGGTTGAAAAGTATTCACCTCCTGGTCTGATATTCAAAGAGTCACTCTTTATTCAAATAAATGTTGTTCATGGATTTTCTCTTATTCAGGTGGACAACACAAAGTTCACCATAAAAGAAATCTTGCTAAAGGCAATGAGACTAAAAAAAAAAAAAAAAAAAAAGGATACCAGAAAATTTCAAGTGCAAAGGCAGATGGGGTTTTTGAGGATGATTAACAAATTGACACAGGGACAGGAGAAGTCATATACGTTTGAGCTGTGAGTAATCCCTTTCAGGGGCTAGGAAAACTGAAGATTTTCTGCTCAGACCCCAAGATCCAGAGTGGTAGGGCACCCTCTGTACTTTTCTGTCTCTGTTTCTCTCCCTCTTTAATTTTTTAAATTATTTTTTATTTTTAATGTAAAATACTTTTTAACACTCTGATTCTCCTTTATCTTGCTAATTCTCACCTTTACCCACTCCCACTTAGGAGAGGCAAAGCACAGGCCCTTTGAGAACTCATCTACGTTTGAGCTGTGAACAATCCCATGAGCACGCTGCATGGTTTTCATTTTTTGCTTTTTTTTTTTTAATTATTTTTTTTTCCTCTGTTTTTCTTTTTCTTTCACCTTTATCACTTTGGGACTCAGCCTCCTCACATTGAGTGTCTAGACAGGTCTAGGTGCGCAGTAGCCAAACACCCGAATACTATTAGGGTCAGAATAATCCTAAATTCCCACTGAATCTGCTGCACAAAGGGAGAAAAAAGGAACTGCAGAGAGATTGCAGATCACCTCCTGCTGCATGTCTCTGAACACTCAAATTTAACTTCAAGAAATTAGGAAGAAACATATCTATCAAATGACCAGAAACCATGGGAGAGGCACAAGAAATATGAGAAAAAAAGAAAATACCTCTCCCCCAAGGGGAAAAAATAACACCTCATCATCCACATACATTACAATGGAACTTGTGGAAAGGTCAGATAAAGAATTTTAAATATTCATAGTGACAAAGCAGAGATACAAGAAAAGAGAGACAATGAACTCCAGAAGATGCAGGAGAAAAAAAACAACAAGTTTCAGGATATGAGGAAGTTCTTGCATGAATTGAAAGAAGAAACACATGGAATGAGTCAAATGGAACTATTAGAGATGAAGGCTGTAATACAGGAAATTAAAACCTCCCTTGAAAGTAATAAAAGCAGATTAGATCATGCAGAAGATTGAGTCTCAGATGTAGAAGACAGAACCTATGACCTAGAAAAATTCACCAAAAAGCCTGAGAAAATAGCCACCAAAAATGAGAATAATATACGAGAAATACTAGATTACCATTAAACGTCCAAATATCCAGATAATTGGTATCCCAGAAGGTGAAGAAACTATTAAGGGCATTGATAACCTATTCCTTTAAATCCTGGAAGAAAACTTTCCAAACCAAGAGAGGCATTCAAATATCCAGACCCAAGAAATACAAAGGACCCCACATAGAATCAACCCAAGAAGATCTTCTCCAAGGCACATCATAGACAGATAGGCGAAATCCACAGACAAAGACAAGATACTAAAATTGGCAAGAGAGAAACGTCAGGTTACTTACGCAGGTTGTCCCATCAGGCTAACATCAGACCTCTTATCAGAACCAATGCAAGCAAGGAAAGAATGAGAAAATATATTCAAAGTGTTAAGTGAAAAACAATTTCATCCAAGAATACTATACCCGGCAAGATTATCCTTCATATGGGAAGAAAAGACAATAACATTCTCAGGTAAACATAACCTGAAAGAATTTACCAGCACCAGACCAGCTCTCCAAGAAGTTCTGAAGGGAGTGCTGTACCAGGAAAACTAAAGACAGACACAAAGAATTAAGAGTCCAAAAAAACAGCCTAGAAAGTGGCCAACTTAATGGTAGGAACAAGTCCGGAGCTGAATGCTAACTTCCAGAATTTAAATGGAAAGATTGGACCACAAGAGAAGAGAGATTAATTACATGATGCTGAAGTATTGAAATAGAATTTTATGACCTTTGACTAAAACATTACTGATTTTCTTCTAGGCTCTGTTTTCCAGATTCAAGGATTTTTGTCATCTCTTGAGCTATCGATAGGTTCATCTACCTACTATTTGAACAGAATCCTAACCTTTATCCTGGCTTTAAGTCTTAAGCAAATTTCTCTTAACATTTTTTGATTTTGATTTATTAACGTTAAAACTGTTTTTCTTTACATTAAAAAATACATTAAAAAATATTTATTGGGACCAGCAGTTGGCATAATGGCTTCGTCACTGGACTCCCATGTAGTCGACCGAGGTTCAAGTCCCAGACCTGGTGGCTAAAACTCACGCCAGGCGTAAGAAGGGATGCAGTGTGGTCATCCCTCCTGGGGGTGATTTGGAGGGCGGGGAGAAAGGCATGGAAAGCAACCACAGATACCAAGATACCAGAGACAGTGTGGGAGAACAAATGTTGAGAAAAGGCAGAGGGTGAGAAGTAGAGAATCAAGGGGAAAATAAAAAGCAAAATATATAAGAAACAAGAAATGAAAAATTAATTGTCGATGACATGTATGGTAATATCCTTCAACAAGCCAATATAAATATAAAGTGTATGCTGGATAGGAAATCTCATTTTGTACGTTGTGATGATGTACAGTGAATGAATGTAAAATAAATACATTTAAATTTTTTTTTAAATGACATAGCAAAGGTCCAGGATATACTTAGCAGTCACCATTTCAAGTCCTTCAAAGTCAGCATAACCTACAGGCTGCGCTTCACCACTGACGTGCAGGTATCTCTTGAGACAAAGTAGAGATAGCCCCTGTTACAAATCATAAAGGCAGGACAAAGCTTTGGATTAAGCAGAAACCCATCTCAATCCATTCTGACCTGCTCTGTGCCTATGACCTTGCTGAAGAAAAAGCCCCAGTCACTCAATATTCAAACTCATGTATATAAGCAATCACAACTACAGACACCTCTACTTTGAATCTGATGGTGCTACCATCAACAAGACTATGCTCAAAGTTAACTACATTCTGGAATCACGAGCCAGCACTGCCTGGGCAAGGTGGCCTGGAGTCCACACTGCATCCTGCAGTTGGGAGAGGCCAGTCCTGGGCTCAGGATGAGGGGCTGGTGGACTCTGCAGGCAGGTAGGGCAGGGGAAAGGGGCACCCTAGGATGGAAGACTGGGGACATCCCTACAGGCCAAGCATGATTGGCAGTGCCTGTGGCTCACTGTGCCCGGGGTCAGAGCACCTAAGAGGAGCCATTCAGCCCTGCCACCTTCATTGCCTGACCACCTGCCGGGTGTACATAGCCGGGCAGACCTTTCCTTGCAACTTGATCAACTTTCTTAAAGCAAACTAAGAACAAAAATGTACATTTCCTTTTTTCCTTTTAGTAAACAGGTGAACTCTTTCTCAAAAACAAAACAAAACAAAAAAACCGTAAGATGAAAGAGTATTGTGAAAATGAAGAAGACTACGATCTGTTTGTCTGTAGAACAGAATCACTGAAAGATAATTCTAGCACCAGAGAAGATATAAGAATTTAAAGGAAGGGTATCTAACAGGAAAAACAAACAAATGAAAAACAGAGATAAGTCTTGAAGATCAAGCCTCTCACATCCCCTATTGCCCACCACCAATCTTTACCCACTTTTCACCCTGCCCCCCCCATTTCACTACTCAAGACTTCATCAACCCTGATTAATCAAGACGGGCATTTCTCTGAAGGAAACTCAATGATAGTAAAAACTATGAAACCACTGGGCAGACCACCTTTCCTAGTTTGGATGAAATCTGGGAAAAGTAGATAAATCGGGTACATTTCACACACATAGTCATGCCCCAAGTAACTAAAGATTTGTTAGATAAAACATTGTCGTTCTTGGGCAAATAATTTTCAAACAGTTGAAGTGTACATAGACATAGGACTGTGAAGTACACCTATCCAATGATCCTGCTGTTTTATTTCATATATACAGTAAAAGTTTTCCAACTGTGTGATACCTATTTTTAAAATTATTTTATTTTATTTATTTATTTATTAAATTTTAAAAATTGTATTTACTTACTTACTTATCTATTTATTTAAATGTGACCAGAGAGGGACAGAGTGTGAGAGAGAAAGAGAGCGGGAAAATGAGAAAACAAATCTCCAGGTCTGGGACTGGAACCGTGGTCACTTTATGTGGGAGTCCGGCACCCTTAACCACCAGGCCAACTGCCAGCCCTGTTATCACTGTTTTTTAATTTGACTAGGGACAGAGAGAGAGGGAAAGTGAGAAAACAAGCCGCCAGGACTGTGCTTCCCCATGTGGGAGTCCAGGGCCTTAATCACCACACCACTTGCCCGAGGCCTGCAAAATATCTATTAAACACTCAAAAATTAGCATAATGGGTGAGGACAGCCATATTTTAATGCTTGCAAGAGAATTGCCATAGTCATCATTTGTTTACAAATTTAAAATAAACACATTATTTTTCACACTTTAGATTGCCTTACAGAGGAGTTGCTGATTCTAAATATAATATCATAACTATAGCAGAACAACAAAAAGTAAAGTTACTTATTAATGTCATTGTCTAAGTGACCCACTCGCGAATTTCCCTTTATCCCCGAAACGTGATAAACCAGGATTTAATAAAGAACCAGAATCCTCTCTCTCACTCACGCGGATGGAGAACGATCCTTTCCGATCAGATTCCGGTCTCCTGGTAACCGGACGTCATCTGCGCGTGAGAGGATCGCAGAGCATTGTGGGAAATGTAGTCTCTCCTCCGGTGACGCCATCAGCCCAGGACAATGAGAGCGACTTTTCCGGGTTGTTTCTGCGCCTGCGCGGCTTCGTTTTTTCCGCTTAGTCGGCCGGGGAACCTGCCGCTGTGCTAACTGTTCTCTGCAGGACAGGGGATGCGATTCCGTGCCCCTGAAGGTGAGCTTGCATGTGAAGGGCGAGCATTGCGGTTCTCAAGGGCCCCTGGAGTGGAAGGGTGCTCCTCCTTCTTGGTGGGAACAGAAATACGAGTGGGTATCGGGTGGGAGAGAAAAGACGCCTGACGGAGGGTACAGCCGCTGGTCAGGGACCTATGCGGAGGGCGACAGGAGCATCGGGCAGTGCAGATCCAGGGCAGGGGAACAGGTGACCTAGGCTTTGCATTCAGTAATTGCTTTGCCAGAAGGTGGGTTTGTGCATCTGGATGCACAAAGGATTCCAGAAGCTCCAGAGTCGGGGTGATCCAGTCCAAGATGGGCACCGGCTAGCGTGGGGAGCTTGGGATCTGAACGGCAACGAGTTCAGCCAACGAGTTCAGCTTCCAGCTCTTCTGCAAGACCTTGATGCTGTTCTCTGTCTCATTCTGTTTACCCATTTGTAATGTGACCTTATTTCTACTGCTAGTGAAATGTCCCCAGGTTCCCAGAGAAATAACTTTGGAGTCTTTGCAGCCGTGTTTGTGGGGTGTCTTGGTGTCCTAAAGTGAGTTGGAGCTTCTGGTCCTCTCCTACATTTGTATGGCCTGCCTAGCACTCCTGGGTAAGTGTTTTTGTTTTTGTTTTGTGTTTTAGTTTTTTGCTTGTTATAAGGGTGTATGTGCTCTCAGGAGAGAGAGACAAAGGGGGGAAAGTGGGAGTAAGAAATCACCTCTCAGGGATATGGCCATGCCACAGCACCTTTTCTGCCATTTTCCTTTTTGAATCTTGGGCATACACAGACACACTCCCAGTGTAATTTTCAAGCCATTGGGTCTGGGACTCAAACCTTGAAGTTGACCATGTGGAATCCAGTCACCTTAACCATAGTTCCACCTGCTGGCCCACTCCTGTGTAAAGAATAACCCCAGCTAGGTGCTAGTCTATGGTATGTTCATTCTACTCACCGAGATTTATGCCTAAAGTCAGACTTGTGTTCATGGATATGTATATATCAGCTGTGCTTGCTATTTAAAATATTTAGATTAATTAAGATCTTTAGTGAATCAATAAAATGTGTGTGTGTGTGTGGGGGGGAAGACACAGAAAGTAACCATAGATACCAGAGACAGTGTCGGAGGAAGAGGGTCGGAGATGGCAGAGGGTGAGAAATAGGGAATCGAAAATGCTGGGGAAACTCTGGGAGACATTGGAGTAGGCAAAGACTTCTTAAATAAGACTCCCAAAGCACAGGCAATAATCCCTAAAATAGACAAGTGGGGCTATATTAGACTAAGAAGTTTCTGTACAGCAAAGGACACAGTAACAAGTGTGAACCGACAACCCTCAGAATGGGAAAATATTTTTGTTAAAAATTATTGATTCATTTCTATTTTAGTAAAATATTTTCAATAAAAATAAAATTTTACTTTAATAAAAATTGTTTTAATTTTAATTAAAAAAAAGAAATAGGGAATCAAGGATGGGGAAAAAAGCAAAATATACAGGAAACAAGAAATGGAAAATTATTTGTTGGTGATAACATGTATGTTCATGTGCTTGATTGAGCCTATATACAGTCTATTCTGGATGGAAAATCTCATCTTGTATGCTGTAATGATGTACAGTGAATGAATGTAAATAAATATATTTAAATTTAAAAAGAAAAGAATTTTATATAAGTTCAAATCTAGAATCCAGGAGCAGTGATTTATATTAGTGACTTTAGGGTACTGGATATTTGTACCATATACTTTGGAATAGAGTAGGTGTTAAAGTTAGAAGGAGGGCATGGTGTGAATAGGGATCCCACATGAAAAAATACTCCCATGGCCTGAACCTTTCAGAGTGCTTCAGAGCAGAGGCCAAAGAGTTGGGGCAAGGGGAAGATTTTAGTTTCCTATTGCTCAAGTAAATTATTGATCCTACTTCCTAGAGTGAACAAAATTTGGGTGATACTGCCGGAAGCTATTAAACACTGGGTGGTGTTCACAGATTTGGACCAACTTTCAGAAGGGAGAAGTAGTTTGGCTGAGATGGGTAGGCAAGCTCTAGAAAATGTAACCTATTGGAGAGGGCTTGAAGATGTGGTCTAGGGTGGAGTTACAACCTGTCTTACCTAAGAGGGTTGTTTATAATGCTTTCTAAACATGTGCCATTCCTTCCCTCTGTCCTCATTGTTTCCAGTGTCTGAGCTCTCTTAAACCTGATGTGTCTCCACATTTGGCAACTAAGAGGTAAGCTGATACTCCCTCTATTCTGATAGGTTTTCTTAGTAGTTCAGGAAGGGTTTGCCAAAGTATTTCTCCCTTATAAGAAAAATATTAGGGACCAGCAGTTAGTGTAATGGCTGTGTCGCTGGACTCCCATGTAGCCGACTGTAATTCGAGTCCAGGACCCGGTGGCTCAAACTCATGCCGGGCACGTGTGCATGTGCACCCAAGATCCTGAGAGGAGAATGGCGGAGAAGGGATTGTGGCGTGGTCATCCCTCCAGGGGGGGTGATTTCTCGCTTTCTGTCTCTTTGTCTTTGTCTGTCAGGCAAGTGCACGTGCCCTATAGCAAAAACCTCTCCAAAAAAGAAAAATATTAAAAATCGGATTTGAGATGTGACTTGTCCAGAATCTCATAATTTGTAGATGCTAAACATTCAGACTTTTGGCTAGTGTTATCCAGTTTTGCATATTTCATTCGAATGACTCACTTGTTTACTTTGTGTTTTCTTTTTGTTTGTTGTGATAGTGAAGTTAACACAAACATTACAATATCTTGCCTATCCTTCAGCACATCCTGTGATTTATGTGGTTTCAAAGGGTCAATAACGCATGTGTTTCCCACTTAACAGCAATAATGTCTTTTTAAGTTACAAATACTGAAGGCAAATTATAAGAGCCATTTTTTTTCTTTTAAAGATTTTTGCCAAAGGGCCTGTGTGCTCTCCAGAGAGAGGCAGAGAGAGCATAAGTGAGAAATCACCCTCTAAGGGAATGGCCACTCTGCAATCTCTCTCCTCCAATCTCTTCTTGGGATTTTGGGTACACAAGCACATGTGCCCAGTGTGTTTTTCAAGCTGATGGATCAGGGACTCAAACCACATGGCAGTCCCTTCTCCATTCTCCTCCTAAGATTTTGGGCATACTCACACGTGCACCTGGTGTCATTTTCAAGCTGCCGGGTCAGGAATTTGAACTGCGATTGGCCATGTGGGATTCCAGCACCTTAACCACCACGCCACCAGGCCCTATGCATGCATGTGTATATATATATATATATATACATATATATATTTTTTTTTTTTTTTTAAAAAACGTTTTTTTCGTTGGTGCGCGTTCAA